CGTATAAGTTAATAGTTAAATAAGTTAAAGTTCGTATATAAGTTAAAAACTTTCGTTACGCGTTTCTTATTCCTTTTTTTTTTTTCTTTGTTTCTTTTTCTCCTTCTTTTAAATATATGTTCACGGCAGCGCATTATTTCTTACAGATTGAACGTTTTCGATAGAAAAATGTCTCTCGGATAGTCTGAATCGTTCCCTAAAAAATAGCAAGAATTTCAATGAGTGCGAACTAAAAAACAGGTACAACTAAATTTCATTCGATTCGCGGCCAGCCTGCGCGTGCACCTATATACATTGTACACAGACGCGCAAGGACAAGACCACTCAGTGGCCAATTGCATAAACATCAAACAACAATGTTTCTCTTATTTTTTTTTTTTTATCTTCGTATAATCATTCGTTGGTTTAACAACAAATTACTTTCGATATATATTATAAAAATAAGGTATCAAACTTTGCGCCAAGGTACACAGCCATTGTGACTACATGCTTAATTTAAGTTGTCCCCTAAAGCCCAAGTTTTCCTTTCTCTTTCTCCCGTTAACCGGCTTTCACACTTTGAATTCACTCCAAAGACACCGGCGACCAGGATAGTCTCAAAGTACTCACTTTTGTACGCTATATAATTATGCTGGGATTTATCCTTCATCAAAGTTCTTTAATTTAGATGAGATTTAACCATTTCACACTCCCCCCTATTATCAAAGAGACACAAACATCCGGTTCTCATTACAAAACAGAGGACACGATGCTTTCTTTTATATTTGTCGTGCGCTTTGTAAAAACGGATGTACGGCTTAATTTTTATGCAAAAGGCCTTACATTTTGAAGAGCGTTGCCTGTACACACGTATTTATGTATGCATGTATGTATGTATGTATGTATGTATGTATGTATGTATGTATGTATGTTGCATACATATATATGCAATATATATGCAAAATATAAATAAATTATCAAATATGAAAACATTAACCCACCCCCCTTCTATACGTTTCGTGCATTTCGGGAAAGCATTAAATGACATTTATATAGTTTTATCGCAAGAAGATTACTTTTCTTAAGGATATGACCAATGGTTACAAGCCTACACATTTGCTGGTCATATTCTACATCCAGTAATGGTTATATCAATGCATCGGTGCTAAATAACTACAACTACTTCAAGAAACTCGACTGGAATGTGCCTTGCGGACTATCGACAAGTAATCATTCTTTCTTTCTTTTTCCTTTCCTTTTCTTTTTTTTTTTTTTTCAATTTCAATTTTTCTTTTCTCTTCCTCTTCGAAATATTTCACAGTACTATCTCAATTTTTATATTCTCCAATAAAAAGAATAAATCATTCGACTGTCATTTCGTCTCTATTTGTTTGACTACTGTTTCTCTCTCTCTCTCTCTCTCTCTCTCTCCCCTCCTTCCCTCTTTTTTGCTCTCTCTTTAAAACAAACTCAAGTAATTTTTATTTTGTTATACGTTTTAACCGGCACCATTCCAGAAAAAGATAATAAATGACAAAGAAAAGAAGAAACATTATGTTACTTATATATTCAAAAGAGACCCAACCGTCTACATAAATCGTAAATATTTAGTGGGCCCAGATATAAACAGGAAAAATTGATTTTTTTACTTAGCCTGCACTCTTACCGATTTATGAGTTTGAAAAGCCTTACTGCTGTACCGGTGTGGGCGGATAAGGATAACTATACGGCGGCACAGCTTGGAACTGGCTGTATCCCATCGATTGATATGCGCAGGCGCCGGTATTCGGTGGTGGACGATTCGTCTGGAAAAACTTGTTGTTAACGAGGCTCTGCATTCCAGAATCGGTGTGTCCACCAGCAGATGGCATCATGAATGGAGGCGGCATGGAATATACATTTTGTCCTCCAGCTGTTTGATTAGTACTATATGCATTCTGACGATAACGATTGCCTTGAAAGCCGCTTGTTCTTCCATGATATCTAGGTATATTTGCATTCTGATAGCTAGCTTGGTAACTGTTGCTAGTTTGACAGCCACTGGTATAGGTATTCGATTGCCGCTGATGTTGCTGCTGTTGATGGTGCTGTTGCTGTTGTTGTTGTTGTTGCTGCTGCTGCTGCTGCTGTTGATGTTGATGCTGTTGATAACTAGACTGAAAGCTATTCGGACGACTGGTCTGGTATCCATTTTGTTGGCGCACAACAGTCCTTTCTTGACTGTTGCCGTTACTATGTTGAGTATTATGAACATGTTGATTCTGCCAGTTGTTTGAAATAGGGCTGCTGCTATTGTTCCTTGGACTACCAGTTGAACTACTGTCCTTGTTAGAGCGTGAATGACTCCAACGTTGACGGCTCTTGCCGTACGCAGACTTTATCGAGTTTGCTAAATCGACCAGTTGCGGATTTATCACCTGGCCGGCTTCTTTCAAAACAGAAATTAATTCTTTTGCTTGTCTGGCATTGTTAGATGTAAAGTAAGCATATGCTGTGCCTGCACTTTGGCAACGTCCAGTTCTTCCTATTCGGTGAATATAATCTTCGGAACTGTTCGGGTAATCAAAGTTAATTACATACTTCACATTTTCAACGTCCAAACCACGAGCAGCAACATCTGTAGCAACAAGAATCATTGTTTTCCCATTTCTGAACTCAGATAACACGTACTCTCTCTCAGGTTGCGATTTGTCACCGTGAATAGAGATAGCTGCCCAACCCTCTCGTTTGATAGCTTTGGTGATATCGTCCACCTTTTTCTTCGTTTCGACGAAAATAATCGTCTTGCTTCCTCGGTCCTTGCCAATCTGTCTCAATAGATTTGAAAGTTTCGTCTCTTTCTCGTGCTCTTGACAAATCTCTATGATTTGACGAATATTGTGATTGGCGGCCAATGTAAGAGAACCTATGTTAATTTGAATGTAATCTGAGAGAAAATCTTCAGCCAATGCCTGCACTTCTTTCGGCCATGTCGCAGACCACATTAGCACCTGTCTATCAGGTCTAATTTGTTCAATGATTTTTCGAATTTGCGGCTCGAATCCCATGTCTAACATTCGATCTGCCTCGTCCAATACGAGATACGTGCATCTGCGCAAGTTCGTAGTTCCTTTCTCAAGGAAATCGATTAGTCTACCAGGAGTTGCGATACATATCTCAACGCCGCGTTCCAAGTCGCGAGCTTGAGGCCCTTTCGGGGAACCACCGAAAATGCAAGTGTTACGAATGCACGAGGAAGAACCAAACTCCCTAGCAACAGTCTGAATTTGCTGAGCTAGCTCTCTTGTGGGTGCGAGTATTAAAACGATCGGTCCGTCTCCCCGGTTCAAACGTGGTTGATTATTAATGTGTACCGTTGCTGGTAAAATATACTGAAAAATACGGATAACGAAATTCGCTCAATATTTGTTTGACCAAATACGTTTTGCCTCAATTCTTTGTGTAAAGTGTACTCTAACTTTCAAAAAGGTAAAGCCCCGTTTCTTTTTTTTTTTTAATATGTATAAAAAAATTTAATTTAATACCTTTTATAAATTTTAAACGCTTTGGGAAAAATAAAGTAAAACATACTCAATGTTACAATTGATCTTAAATCAACTACTTTTCTGTTCTTAATGGACAATGTAATTGAAATATATGAAAGATTTACATATTTGAACAATGTACGTTAAAATACGTACAGCTAGAGTTTTTCCAGATCCCGTTTGAGCAATTCCAACTAAGTCGCGTCCACTAAGTGCAATTGGCCAGCCCTGTGCCTGAATAGCTGTTGGTTCAGTAAAACCCTGCTTTCGAATCTCTTCCATCACATAATCTGGGAAGTTGCTTTCTTCAAACGCTTGAATTGGAGAAGGAGTATTGTTTCCCTTCACAGTGATCTCTTTGCCAATGTGATATTTGTGAACATCTTCGGTTGATCTTTTCAAAACATTGATATGTGGAATATATAAATTTTTTGTGATCACTGGTAATTTGGCCAAATCCCACAGAGGCTTCTTCAACGAATCTCCAGGAATTTTCCTCTGAACCTGTTTCTTAAGGGATTTTTCCTTTTGTGTATGCTGCTGGCTGTTCCAGTACGTCCCTCCTCCATTACGACTGCTACAATTCCTACTTCCCCTGGGTCTATAACTAATTAATTGGTCAACAACTAATTATATTAGTTTTTATTACCTTTGAATGATATTAACATCTGTACTGAGCATTTAAAATTAACAAAATCTTAAAACATTGACATGGAACAATAAATTGTGGTTTCCAATATATTTTTTGAAAATATATTGAATCTTGAATATTTGAATTGAATATTGAATTTTTCAAAAAATTAAAAATTGTATTTTGATGAAAATCTGTTTTCAAAGTGATATTAAAGAATACATATGCACATATGCATGTGTATCATATGTAACGAGATAACAGCCTGATGTAAAAAAAAAATCAATAACATGCAGTTTGACGTAAAAGCATCAGGTAACGCACATTTTTGCAAAAATAATTTTTATTCTTTGGCTTCACGACTGTAAGTAGCTTTCCATTAGATAATGATACCGCCATTTTGCTTTTTTATGACGCACTTAATTCCATAAATATGCATTTTTAACGTACGCGCTGCCATATTTCGGAACAACGAGCTCTCGAAAGACGTGAACTCGTTAGTTCAACTTCTAATTAGATGATTCGGCAAAAGCTAGATCAAGAGTGCTCATGAATAAAATGGTGGAGAGAACACGATATTGCAAAAAAAAAAAAAAAAAAAGAAGAAAGATTTCTCCAGTTTCGTCGTTTCGCATCGTATGGTATTGCCATACTGGACATTTAAGAGGCTCAATTTAACTCAAAATACCTGGTATGATTGGAATACGTATTGTTATACATGTCGGCAAAAGTTCAGAAGAATCTGGCTGACACACTAGTAGGTCCGTAGGAATGATCTTCGATTTTTCGGAAACTATGTCAGTTGTACCAGTTATACCTGCGATCAAAAATGCGATTATACGAGAAACCTAGTAAAAACGATAATATACCAACGTATATATCTGTTTCGCAATAATTCTTGTACCGACTGACAAAAATATTCGCGTGGCAGAAATTAGGAATATCCGAGCGAACTTACCCTGCAATACCCGGCGAGCAGAGCAGTAATGGCTGACAGGCACTTGGAAGACGGAAACGAGCGACTGGGCAACGCTTCCGTTTCTTGCTATACAGGTTCCACACACACAGAGAAACGAAGATTGTTCATTGGCTGGTTCATCTGTAAAATCGTGACGCTGACACGTAGTCCAATCGGAGCACGCCAGGATAAATCAATAAATTCCAGTGTGATGTATCTATCGAACGTGAAGGCAAGTACTCAGTGAAGAATAAAATGAAAGGTAAATCGAGTTGCTATGAAAACGATCAAATGCATTTTCATCGTATCGAAAGTTTTGTAAAAATATTTTAATTTCAGAAGTAAATTAAGATTATATTTGTCATGTATTTATCAGTGATTTGAGGTTAGATGATATGTCCATGAAGTAAGAATTAGGCAGGTAAAAAAACGGAACAATGGAAACCAAGCATTAATTTAAACATTCGTCGCTGAAAATATTAAAGTCATATTGAAATCATATCTTACAAATAGTAAGTAAGTATAATTATATACAATAGAAATGTTATCAAACCAGGTTATAAAATAAAATTCGTTCTCGTTCATAGGTGGTAATAAAAGAAAGAATGCCAAACGCATTTCTTTGCGTGCGCGTGAGAAATTTATATTTAGCTTTTAAAACGTATTCTTTAATTTTTTCACGTACTTCTTTCGAATAACATTCTTTTAATTAATATCAATGACGCAAGTATTGCTGATATTTGTCGATAATTAAAAGCTTATGTTTAATGAATAAATTACGATCGAAATCCACGGCCGTAATCTCGAATAAATGAACTAATCGTTCAAAAATATTCTGCTTCGATCGAGACAATAAGGCAATAAAGAATGGAAACTTGTGTCGATAGAACATTTTCATCAATTAGGAACGATGATTAATCTTCACTGCGTAAGCATCGGAATAACAAAACTTGGTATTCCCAAGTATTTGTTTTCAAATTCACACACGAATGAAATTATATCTAATTTTTGCCAAACGTACATTTGCATACGTACGTCGAATACCGTTTTATCATGTAAAACGCAGTTTTCCTGTTACTTCCTGCAACGCTTTATTGTCCGACAATGTTTTACGTCAGAATGCACCATTTCTCATACGTTTGTTTTTTTTTCTTTTTTCCTCTTTTTCTCAAAATCGGACAGCTTCCATCGAAAAGAGGAGCTTTACTCGTTTCCCATTGCGTAGATTCCTCTTAAGCCAAATCCGATTCCATATAATATAATTTCAAAGTTAATCGCACGTATCGCGAATAAAGTTTTCGGACAGAACGCGAACGTTAGAAAATTTTATATTTTGGCATCGTCACACATGCTTATGAATATCATTACGAATATTATATAACATCGAAATAGAGATTTCATTCCTTCTCTTTCAAAATTATAATGATCGGGAATGTGGAATTTGGTTCCATATTTCACGGATTGGAAGATTGTATCAATCTCGAATGTTAATCTAAAATAATAATAGGACAGCAATTATTAATTCATTAAATAATATAATATAATAATAGAATAATAATAGAAAATATATAATAATATATAATAATATAATAATATATAATAATAATATAATAATATATAATATAATAATATATAATAATATAATAATATATAATAATATAATAATATAATAATAAATAATATAATAATAGAAAATTCATTAATTTCATTCAAAATTCATTAATTTCATTTAAAAATTCATTAATCGATTCATTAAATAATAATAGAAAAATGAGAAATAGACAACTCAGATTCAAAGAACGAATGAATAGCGAATAATTGAACAAGGGATTAAAGTTGAATAGTGAATGAGATGAGAACTCATTTGAATGACGCTGCTTCTGATCAGGAAGAAGAAAATTCAGTGAGAGAAAAAAAAAAAAAAAAAAAAAAAATCATCTGCATCACAAGTAACGGTACAAATATCGAGAGAAGAGATCGTGCTGCTAATCGATTTTCTATTTATACGACTGCCGATCAATTATTATCAGTAGAATCTTTTCTGCGAAATTCTTATCAGTTTTATCGATTGTTGCGGCTGAGATGTTTGGATAAAACTATGTAACGCTGTATAATAGGCATGCATCATTGAAGATATATACATGGTTCCGGTGACCCGCGTAATCATCGATCGTTCGATTTTCTCGGTGGTATTTGATTAGTCACCTGACTATGAGAGTTTCATTCGCCTTTTATTTTACGCACGCATTGTGACTTGTATTTTGTTAGCAATAAATGGCAAAAATTGATAATTCACGAGTATACTGCAGAATTTCTATCACTTGGCTATCTTACATTATACTGCGACGAATTCCAAGAACTATTTTTAAAATATATAGGAGTACATATACAGGGTGTTCAGATCTCAACCGTTAAACTTTGCGAGGCCAGCATGTTTGAGAGGCCATTTTTAGCAAAAAATGTTATGATGCATAAATGGGCTGATTCGTCTTTGTTTTTTCACACTGAGATGTGAGAAGGAAAATAGTATAAGCATAAGTAACAAGTAATCAAGCACTTGACTGTTAATTATTTTTAATAGATGTATTACTAATTTAATAGACTGATTCTGTTCTTGATGGGAATGGCAGTGTTTCTGACTTTTGATATCAATTTATTTATTACGTGTATGATAGGTTTTCCATTTGAATGAATCTTTGATTTCAACTCCATGTAAAAAAAATTACGTGCATTTCAATAAATATGGGAATAAATAGCTCGAATTTGACAACTATTAGGAAAAAAGAGGAATCAATCCACGGCGTATGTAACATTTCTTGCTCAATCTGACAATTGAAATCTAGGACACCCTTTATATGTATATCTTACAATCTGTAAAACTACACAACTTTTGTCACGCAATTCTTCAATCATATCAATTATTTACTGCTAGTAAAAGAAGGTCAGATGACATAATATTTGCTTTTTAAATCAATGTTAAAGTTTATCTTTATTCACAGTTTCATTTATTTTCCTTTTCCTTAACGTAATATATAAATTTCTCGTCGCATAAAAAATTCAAACCATGTTTTTTTCGTTTTAATGCATCACTATTCTCGTCACTGGCGAACCTAATCAACCGAAGTCCCAGAATTTATTTCTCCAAGAAGGTTCGTTCATAAGGCATATCACTGTTGATCGATGATAACTCCGTTGAATTAACGTTTGATTAAGTTTACGGTGGCATGAGTCTACACTTTGAGGATTTTATTTCTCAAGAAAATGATTTGCAACTATTGACAAATACGATTCTAACGAATCTGACGAATTCTCGTAAACCACCCACCCTTGGGAAAACCCATACGATCGTCTAATACTTTTCGAACGTAAGTTATCAAAATAAATAGTACCTATTTTTCACAGATAATCCATCTGTTTATAGAGAGATAGGGAAGAAAGACAGGAATTACTTGTGTAAAATTGAATAAAATAGCGTGAACTATGCTTATGGTACAGAATAATAAGATGATATTGGAGATTTGAATTTACTTTTAGTGAAAAGTTTATCCAACATGTATATGTGAATTTTGTTAATTTCTGAATGTATGGAAATGAATAATTGTATATGTAAAACTAGATTGGAAATATGAAATGAGATTCTTTCGCTCGAAGTGTCCTCCTCGAGCAAATCGAATTTCAAAATTCGCTGGGTATACATTTGATTACCTATTTTCTAGCTCTTCTAGAAACTTCAATTAAAAAATTGCATTTTGGATTTTCGATTAATTTCTTGAGAATTCACGGTTCAATCCTTATATTATGAGTTTCTTGAGTAAAGCCGTTTAAAGTTTAAAATTGATCGTTATATTCTAAAGATCATTGAGGTCGTCTACATGATATTTTTATATCCAAGTAATAAGATACAACTCTATCTCAACTTATGGACGTTTATTAATTTAATGTAAAATTTCGTTGAAAATTCCACTGAGATACGTGGCATACGTATGTCATTTCACTAAAACATACTCTCCATTATCCTCACTTTTTCTCATTAACTTTTGTCTTCTATAATGCATAATCGGAGACTTTTTGATATCGACTGCTATATTTCCAACTTGTCAGTTCTGATCGATTTCATTAATTATATTTTTCATAATAACAGAAAGATGTGAAAATTTTCTAAATAAGTGAACAATAAGAATGATAATAAATAATGAGAACATTGATGAACTCGTCTATTATCTTTTGACAAGCAATTGCTCAATGAATTGTTTATTTTTTAAAGAGCAAATGAACCAATTAAATTATTATCAATTCGAGTGTACGTATGAGATAAGATTCATGGAACAAGCAGAAAATCATTTTTTATGTGAAAATAGGTCGGTCGAAGGTGTGGGAGAAATATATTATTAGCATTGAAAATTATAACATCGTCGCTCATACGTGCACATACATA